TCCGTGAAATTTTTACTGAGGGAAACCTCACTAGTACAAAAGTAATGAATATGCCCTATTTGCCACCTCTCTCACTTACATGGCCTAGGAAACTTTTCAGTGGATAGTACTCTATCTGACTTCGGGTGGTAACAAATAATTATATGGCCATAAACCTCCCATTCGACTTCATTTAGCAAGGGAAATATAGTTTCAGCATAAGTTGATTCAATCTTCAAAAATCGGTTGTATAATAAGTGCATAAAGTGTGTGGTGGGCTTCTATGCATAGCCACTACGACTGCATACATACATGAAAAACTCTCCAATTGTAATTTTCTACACGCCAGTGTTATAATTCAAGTCTACGATAATATCCTACATTGGGTCCACACAGAAAAAGCGAAATTGGTTAAGTGGTTTCACATATACCTTTTTCATCATCTCGATAGTCATAAAGAGTTTGTCTTCCATTGTCGGGGTAGTATTCTTTCACACATATGTGATTCTGCAAGTCTATATGAAATCATTCCTACAACTTACTACGAATATGTTTGCTCATCACGAGAACCTAGGTTCGTTGTTAAATACTCTCTCGCGCATCATGTGATTTACTATATATTTCGTCCATGTACATATTAAGCTCTTCAAAACTATATGCCTTTGCAGCTTTCCTAAACGACGACATGATCCTAGTGCCCTGATACTTTGTCTTCAAGTTGCCTTGTATGTGATACATGATTACATCATGATGTGCATGGGGAAAAACTTTAGTGATACAATTTATTATGGCGTTTCCTTGATCGGTTACAAATATAAGGTTCTTGAGGTCCCCAATTACTTACCTTAACTTTGTGAAGAACCAATGCATAGTTAGTCACTCTGGCTATAGACTATGTTGAATACAAGAGGATAAAATTTAAATGTTTGCATCTTGATATATAGTAATAATCAACTTGTCTTCGTATCAAACTTTAAGGTATATACCATCAAATAGAATTAGGGTTCGCACTGAATTAGGAAATCTTCGAATGTATTGTCCAAGAGATATAAAGAAACACATGAAGTTGTTGTCTTCGGTCTCAATAAAGAACGTCGAGTCATGATTAGTTCTCTTATATTATGGCAATACCTGACCAATTTAGTGTAACTCTAATTGGATGAACCTATTAAATCCTCCAATGCGTATTTTTTACCCTTTCAAGACTTCAGTAGCTCACGACCACCCTGAACACTTGACAGATCTCATTAATGATACCTTCAGGTCTGTAAATTGTCCTTGAACCTTAAAAATTGTGCATTAGATACGTCTACCAATAAACTAAGATCATGCATGTCTGTGATCATTATGATGAAATCCACTTGACAATTATGTTCTCGTGCATACTTATAAATGACAAAAAAATCGGTTGTGTTACAATTCGTTGCTCGTAAACACTAATTGCAAATGTCATCTACACAGATAATTACGTAGGTAGTCGTGTTTAATTTCTTCACTTTGAATTTGAAGTTGTGTTTCAATGCAATCATGTACACAGCTTCTTGGAGATCTCTCTTGGTACCAAACAGTTGGTCAACCTAAAAATCTTCATCATCAGGAACTAAACATGAAGAATGAGAAGATCTTGTACTCGATCTAGTCTTTAAGTTCCTATCCAACTCATATCTCTAACTGAATAAAGAAATTAGATCTTGGTTTGTAAATAAATTTCATTCTCGTTGTCTTGAACTACCTCGAGAGATCTATGGGTAACAATGATTTCGTGTTGTATAGCAACTATCTCTGGAATAACTACGTCATCCTCTCGAGCTATCTTAATTGTGTTCCAAAAATCATCCATATTACGATTCAATTTATCAGATGCTTCATGTTCACTCTCAAAGATATTCTTCCTCACTGAAGTTATGCAAAGAGTAGAATTGTGGTCTTTGTTCAGCTGAATTCTCCACCTCACTCGCACTTCAAAAGTAAATTTTATCGGTGGAACCAAAATAATTTAAATGTTTAGGAAATAAAAATTCTAAAATCCATCTCGTATTTAGAGAGATCAACGTTGAGAAGTTTTTGTAAATCAAGATACACATTCGTATATGATGTAGCCAATGTTAAAAAAAATGTAAAAACGCCTTCTCCATCACTCGTCCAGTTCCATGATCATCAATCATTTTCATTCACCAAAATAACAAATTGGAATGAGTCTCGATTGCATATCTGTATATTTTAATTCAAATTTAAAAAAGTTAGATAAAGAAAGGAAAATAAAAGCTAAAAAGGATGGCTTTTACGAATCCGAGGTTCTATTACAGACGGCACAAACCGTCTGGACTGTTTATTATCAAACGCTCCATTTGGACCATTCGTTATCAGACGCTCCATCTGGGCCGTCCGTAATCAGACAATTTGGAAGTTGAACCATTTACCCGAATAAATATTTTCTCATTTTTTGAGGAAAAATTTTATAGATCAATCCAATAAATTGTAAAAATATATAAATATGTGTGTGTGTTAAAATAAATTGAAATACGTTTTAACAATTAAAAAAGAAAACTAATTTAACGAAAATGACATTAAATATACTCAAATATACTTACCGATCAAATATAATGGATATTAATGAGATCTTTATTGAACTTTTGATAAATTTATGACATTTTAATGTTGAAGAAGTTCAAGAAACAAAAGAGTTGTTAGTTGTGTTGGAGAAAATGACTTTAATTGAGGAAATGTTGTTTTTGTTTTGTAATTCACGGGTACCAAAGTTTTTTATTCTACTTTATTTTAGTAATTTATTAACTTCAATTAGGGTATTTTCGTCTTTTTATGTTAAAGAGACCATTTCCTCGTAGGTTCAGTTTGATAGGCTGATAATTCCATGGAAAATTGATTTGTTTTCCATTTTCCCACTTTTTGATTATTTGACTGGAGTTTTTTTTCTTGGCAATTGGAATTCTCACTTCCTCCAACATGATCACAAATTCTTGGTTTTCCTTGAATTCATTTTCCCACCACTGTTTTCTAAGTTTTTTTTTTTTATTTGCAATGGAAACAAATTTTAAGTGGAATTATAACAAAATTTATCCCTTTAATGGACAATTTTCATGAAAAACAAAGCCAAACGAATACCAAAAGATCCAAATTTTCAATATTTTTCAGCTGGAAAATTATACCGATCAAACACAACCAATTGACAATTCGATGACAAAAAGTTCTAAGTAATTCAATTCCCTGAAATTCATTTTCTTTCCACCCAAATTCCACTCTTGCAATCTAACGAACCCTTAAAGATGATAAGTTAGGCTTGTTTGCAAATGGGAGCCTTAGGCCAATGTGAAAGTTCCCCGATCATTACATGGACTTATTTGTGGGTCTGGCTATGTATCTTGGGCTCGTGGGATAATTTTAACACTACATTAACCACCAAACATCCGCTAACTATTATGTAACACTTAGGTTGTTGCCGTCAACCATAGGTCCATTGCCACCAAGATTTTTGAGATAGCGTGACCTTGCGCGTCACACAATATTTTGTATTGTGTGAATTGAAATTTTTTGTTTTTCGATTATTGATCAAATCAAATAGATACCTGCCTGAAAAAAATTTTATTTCACCGGTTTTAAGATTTTGGATGACATCGTTTATGAGGGGTTGAAAAGATCAATGCTTACTAGTTTTTTGGACACCGATTTTGGATGGTTTAAAAATCACCCAAAATCGGTATATTGTAATTTTGATCGGTTCTCTCAACCTACAAAATCACGAATTTTGATCGTTTCTCATATTCTTTTCTAATTTTACCCTCTATAAAATCATTATTTTCAACCCACATATTTTCTTTGAAACTAACTTGTAAATAAAAATATATTAACTAAAAATTGCAAAAAATTACATAATAATTAAAAATACTTATAAGTAAAATATTACTTATAAGATAAGAAAAATTACATTATAATTAAAAATTACTTACAAGTAAAAAATTCACTTTTATGTAAAAAAAATTGTTTAAATTAAAATACTATTAATAAGACAAAAATTCACTTATAACATATAAAAAATTATGAATAAAAAATTAACTTCAAATTATTTAAAAGTATAAAATTTAATTATAATTGTAAAAATTACTTATATGTAAAAAAAAAAAAATATCTATAAGTAATATATTACTTATGAGTAAAAAATCTCGTATAAGAAACTATAAACTGAAAATTTTATTAAGGAAGATATATGTAATTTTATTTTTTAAAAAAAACTTTTAGAATAGATGGATGATAAACTCTCAAGTATATGTTAGTTTTAAAAATTGCTATTAAAATCACTCAAAATCAATTTACTCATAAACGCTCAAAATCGATATTTTAAAAAATGCTCATAGTCTGTACGTCAAAACTCTCAATCACACTTAAGGTTTCCTACTGAAAGATGGACTGGATGGTAAATTAAATATGATGATGGTTGGTGCTCAAACATTGGCTCAAGACCCTTTTTTTTTTTTTTTTGCACATAGCGAAGGAAAAAATCGTTTATAGTGACACTTAATTTATGTGAAGGCCTCTCTTCAATTGTTATCGATAATGATTTCAAAGGTAGATAGTGAATTTTGAATATGCGAATGGCGGTTGTGATTGAACCAAAAGTAACAAATTCAATTGTTATCAATAATGATGTCCAAGGTAGAGAGTGGGTTTTGAATATGAGAATGGTGGTTGTGATTAAGTAACACATTTTGTTACTTGTGAAATTCAAATGTTGATTTTTATTGACAACTAAGCATGTTATCCGAAAAAGAAAGATCTCCCAACTCACTTCTTGAACAGAAGAATAATTATATATAATGTTACCATGCAAGTTGAAGCAAGCTCTATTTTAATTTTTTGGAACATCTACTATAATGTCATCTAGCTCCTGACCACTCTCTCGATTCAAAATCTTAATAGCTCTCGTGAGACGGAAGTCAGGACGACTAATGAAATATAATTATACAACTTGTATACAATTGACGCAATGTACAACTGTATTCTTCTCATCAATCTTGTCCACCACATGCATCACAACATGCAGCACAACCTAAACATGCCAAGGCACCGCAGAGCTGCGTGAATGCGATCATGCACTGGTCGTTTAACCGTGAACAACATTGAATACAGCACATGCAACAGCAGTGCCCAAAAAGATTTCCGCAACAATTTGAAGCTGCCTCCACGAAAATCTCTCCAGCATCAGGGGGACATTTTTCTTTGCATCCTGGATGAGTGTTCTCAGCAGTAGCACTTAAATTTCCAAAACCAATTCCGAGCTTATGCACCCCTATTATCTTTTGAGGTATAGAATCTTCTGTCCTATGAGGATCTGCTTTGCTTGAAACCTACATTCATGCAGCATTAATTGAGAAATTCCCACCTATATTGTCTTTCAGCAAAGCAAATGGTACAAGTGCAGAATTCGAAACTTACAGCAATATACCAGCCGTCTTTGACCAGTAAATATTTGTGTGTGCATTGTTTGGTCGTGCCATTTTTTAGCTCTTAGGCCTTGTTTGAAGGTCCAAGGTTTCATATGTTATTCCATTATTCATTGTCTTTTTGTAGGTTTGCTGTTGTTTCTCATATTCCTACGATGTATTGATTTTCCAAGGCATCTTTCTCCATTTAGTCGCAAAGATACGAAATAAAAAGTCTACTATCAATAAACCAACATTACGAAACAGTTTCATATAATCACACAGCAATAATACATATATGATTACACATCTGTAGTTAAACCAGATAGAACTTCATTATGCATGCATATAGAAAGATTAGGATATCAAAGATTATCTGAAGAGATTCTTCTCTTAATAAAGGGAAATTTGCATTTCTATAATGAAAATAACATATACCTGTTGTTGGGCACTGGTTGATTCACTACCTTTTCTCCCTCTCTCGGTCGCATGCAAGATCATGTGTGTATATTCTGAAACAATTGCATTTTGTACACTCATTTTTGCAATCTGTAAACAAAGGAACAAAGCTAATCATGGCTTCATTCTTTTTGGTCAACAATGTCTTCATATAAGTGCAGAGGCTTTGTTGCAAAGGTTAACTCTGGGAACAGTTAAATCGTCTACGATTTGTTATTCTAGTGTTTTCTACCATAAATGCACAGGCATTTGGAGATAGCATCCGACACTTCGTCCTTAATATCATCAAGATTCAAGAACATATGACAGAAGCGTATATGTTTTGTTGGCAAGGTGGGAACAGTTATATCATCTACCATTGTAATTCTAGTGTTTCTCCCATAAATGCATGGGTATTTAGAGATAGCGGACCTACACTTTGTCCTTGATATACAAATATGTACAAGACAAATAGAGTGAGGCAGGAACAACCTTTTCTTTAAGCTCCTTATTTTCTGAATACCAGGCCTGAGCTGTAAGTAGCTCAATCTGTTGTTTTGCTAGTATCTGCATGCAATACAAATTAATTACGAGAGAAAAATATCTGCATAACACGAGACAAGTACGTGTAATATGATCAGAATTGAATTTTTTTCCTATTAAAATCATACCAATGAAGTGCCTTGATAAAATATATAACTTCACTGCTCTATAATAAAGACAGGTTGACAACACAGATAAAATCTGTGAAATTGGGACATGGAGATCTCCAGTATTGAAAACCAGAGATGTCAGCCTTTCTAGTGAATTCATTTCTGCCACAAATGATTAATAATCAAAAGGTACCAAGATAGTACACAAAGCCACTAATATAACAATTTACTGATCCAAGAAGAAGTAAAAAGAAACTCGAATTCACAGAAATTCCAAATTTAAAAGAAAGATGAAGTATTTTGTACACTGAATACATAAACTATTCTTATACTTAGTGTATTTCACATCAAGGCACAAAAGTAACTCACCCTGTCAATAGGTATCCCCTTTGCCTCTTGTACTTTCAGGTTCAAAGAAAAATTGCTTATGTCTGCAAGGTAACCCTTGACTCTAAGGGTCTCAGGAAACATTCCCCGGTATCTGCCTGATATAATCAAAGGGCTTTCAGATGAAAGGTCCGGAATTCTGGAAGGAAACACCTAACACGAAGATCGAAATGACTCCTTGTAATATATGTGAAATGTCAATAATTCAGGGAAAAAAAAATGGATACTGAATGAAGTCCCTACAAACACACAAGACACAAAAATTTGACTGCGTCGCATGAGGTAACAAATCACTTCCAAACAACAACGAGGTCATTTAACAAATCACTTCTGCATCTTTTGCAATTCGTTTACGAAAAATAAATAGAGAAGTTAGCTGTAAAATTGTCAACTACAATTGATACAGACAGAAGATAGTTTACTAGTTACACTCAAGTATTTTTAAGTGTCACCCTATGAAGGAAGTGGATTTTCAAAATTTAATCAACATTATATAAAATGTAAAGGAAAAGACACGAAAGGTACCTCAAGTTCATCAAGGTTATCGAGACCCTCGAAGGAAATATTTGCAAGAAAGATAGAGGCGGCTGTAGCAAATAGTCGTCCAATTCGAACCTCAATTGAATCTGACCAAAACCGAGAGAAATAAAAGAGGGCTTAGATTATCTGAATTAATAACATATTTTCAGATGCAAATTGTGGATAGGTTACATTGCAAGAAACATCTACCACATTGAGAAAGAGGATCAGAAGCAGGATGTTGCTTGGTACATTTCATACAGACAAGGGCGTTCAAAAATTACAAAATTCAAACTAGATGGAAAAAAATATAATCAAAGTTGATTGAGGACGAGATCAGAAATCTGAATAAGCTCTTTGTATAATATTTTATTAACTCTCTTTACGAAGGCGTGGTAGAATTCTAGAATTTGGACTCAGGTCTGTAGTACGACCTGAAACCTATGTTTTGGTTTTATAACAATTCTGCAATCATTTATGAACCTTCTGGATGTTTAGATTTGTTTTAGTAGATCACAGTGTTATGCAAAAGAAGAAATGCAAATTAGATATTTTGTACAAAAAGAATTTGGAGCAAATGTAATAAAGCTTAAACTGAAAGTCATACTTTGTATAGATGTTGGAACATTATTATTTAGATTCATTATGTTATAGAGTTTTTATCTTAAGCTTCGTTATATTCATTAGGTTTAAGAATAGAAGGGAAACAAAAAATAAATTTGTAGGTATTTCGTCCATGGGCAATAAGTTAGGATTTTCTTAGCCATTTGAGTTTAATTTAGAGTCTTCCATCGTCTAGAACTAGTCTTAGAATCAATTGATTAGTTGTTCTGATTTAAACTCTTGGTCTTCTTTCTTGTAGGAGAAGTCTTCTAGATTTACAAATGCTCTTTATTCTCTTTACTTCAAAAGAGTGTGTACAATAATAGATTAAGGTGTGTGATTTTGCTTAGTCTCTGACTCTCTTGCAAGCGACAACTGTTCTTTTCTCCTCTCCGTCTCCTCTTTGTCTAGTCTCTAATTTCTCTGTTTCATACTTGTTGTGTATTGTATTCAGACCTATTCTTGCTATTCTTTGTTACTAATAAACAGCCCCTAAAGTTTTGCTGATGATCAGCTAAGTTTGTGAGCTGAATACCCTGCAGCTGCTGCTGTACAGCAATTCTACATCCCAAAGGCTTTCAGCGGATAACATTCAGTAAGATAGTAAAAAAAAAAAAGAGACCAAATACAAGAGTGACAAGGCCTAGGAGGTTCTCGGGTTGAAGAGCCCTATGATGCTAAATTGAGTTTTGCAGTATAGTATAATTGAATACAGATCAGAAGATACCCATAAAAGATTTATATGCAAAATATACCCCGGTGCTGCAGACTGCAGTAACAAATCAAATTATAATTGGTTTAAATACGTGACTGTAATGTTTGCAAATCTAACTGTTTCAACAGTAATGAAACAATATTCTGCTAAAAGATAAAGACAATCATGATACATTATGGGCTGAAAGCTGAAGGAAAATATGATAAGAGAGCAAAAGAACTTTGTACAATTCAAGCATAATTTTGAAGCTTGCTAAGATTTATTTAGCAAGAAGGATCTTCAATATATTTATTTGGACAAGAAAAACATACCTGCATCATAAGCAACATCATGATATCCGCGGCTGATTATTGCAAGCATCCGAAGAAAATAATGATTACAGAATGAACCTAAAATGTTTTGAATTACTAGTCAACTACAAAGTAAAAGAAACATTGCAATCAAACTAATATAATACAGGATGAAGATAAGAGAGCCATTGTAAGAAAGGAAGTGCAAGACATTAGCGATGCAGACAGCACAATGGATTTAAAATTCTCATAAAAAAAGTCCACTCATTGAGAAATTAAATAAATACAAAATAAATGAAATTGGATAATCATACACGAAATGTCACAGCTTAGGCATCTGCAACATAAGAAGAAGCAATCGTTGTCATTCCCATTGCAAAATAGGTGGATTTCTCTGTGCTGACAGCAGTAATTCGTTTGTTCTATATATAGTACTTATTTTGATGAATAGTTGTACTTTATTAAAATAGGAGGGTTTTTCCTGAGAACAGTTAGAGATAATGTTCTAACAGATGACAACAAGAAAAGGAAGAAAATCTGCTCAAGCTGGTGCAATGCATGCAAGTGGGGAAAATGTGTGGCACTTATTACTCCATTTGGAGTCCAGTTTTCCATGGGGATTCAGTATGTAAGGCCAGCCATCGTAAGAGCTTTGCTGGTCAGTTAAAGTGCACAGGGTCTTCGCAGTAAGGCAGAATCAGAGCTGGCATAAGATTTGGGCTTTATGGAAGAAGCATAGTAGAAGTTACTTCGAAGTTGTTTAATGTTTAGAAACTGAAAAGCACCGTTCCTTTTTTATGCTTTCGAAGATGACAGTCTATTCCCACTTCTGCTAATAATTATATAAATTTTTGAAAATTCTATAAGTCGCATATTTGTTTGCATGCGTCTTGTCTAGTATGTCCTATTCTTCTCTTCAATATACTTTTTACATGCTACAAATACATTAGTAATACTAAAAAACTTACCTATGCCCAATGTGTATATTCGTGGGCAAACTTTTTGTTGATTTGTTAATTGACTTCTCATAACATCACAAATATGTCTCTCATCTTCAACAGACCCATCAGTAATGAGGAAAATGATAGGGATGGAATTGCTACTATTAGATAACATTTCAATGGCCTGACAAAGGAAAAAAGCGATTCTATTAGTGTTGTCATAGATAACTTCCAGTTGTGCAACTAAAATATAAAAATGCAAATGGTTGTAATTCAACAAACAATTGTTTGATAAATGAAATAAAGTTAAATCAGCTGAACTTGGAGAACGTCTACATTTTAAAGACTCAATGACTCCATCCCAGAAGAATCAGACATGCACATTTCTTTTGCAACACTATGTAGGGCAAAAGCCAGGAGATTAGAAAGTGAGCACTGTCCAAGCAACATCTAGAAACCTTGGATGAGCATGCATTCCAGGAGGCACTACAGCTTTCTGGTCAAGATTAGAAATCTAGGAAGCAAGAATCCAATCAAGCAATTAAGATTAAAACATCTTTGGTTGAAAGTAAAATTGGCCCCCCAAGTGTAACTTCTTGGTCTATGCAGTTCTGGTGGGAAAACTAAACCAGATGCTTTCATATGTGACTTGCACATCAACTTTGTAAACATCAGCTCCTCTGAAATTGATTCCACGTGTAAACTACGTCATCATTAAAATCACTTCCATTTCCTAAATCACTTCTAAATGAATCAATCTAAACACTGCTTAATTGTCATCAAGCACATGCATAGGTAACTCAAAATCAGATGATGCGAGAGAGAGAGAGAGAGAGAGAGAGAGAGAGAGTCATGTATGTGCTGCTAGTAGGAAGAAGGACTTGCAATTAAACAAGGAAGATCTTCTGAAGATTGCAAGAACATGCAACTGAACCTGATTCAGAGGAAGTAAGATATTTGTGCCACCTCCAGCGACAAAGTTCAAGTTAATCCACTGAGTGACATTCTCAATATCTTCCACGGATGCTGGCATCATAGATGAGGAAAATAGGTAGGTTTCATCATTGAATGCTATTACACTAAACAAATCTTCAGAATCAAGCTTTGACAGAGCTGCAAACAAGGCACTTTTGGAGTCCTCAATAAGTTTTTCCCTCATGCTTCCGCTTATATCAACAACAAATACCACTTCCTTTCTGAACACCTTTACAACATTAAAAGGAAATCAACATACTTCTCAGCAACAAAATGTTAAATGCTGAGCAGTAATGACAAAGAAACAGAAACAGGTTAAGTTTTATTGCTTTAAGAATATTATGGCAGATAATCAATATCCTTTATTTCCCAAGAATGCATGCAGGAAACCAAATTCAGAAGTTTGCTTTATTTTCATGCATTCGTATGACTAGAAACTAAATGAGATAAGATTACCACAGGACTCATTTGTTTCTCATTGAATTAATTATTTTTCTTTGCTTTTCCATCAATAAAATTGACTTCCATAAATTTAATAACTAGCATAACAAACATGAAATACGGTGTTTAATTCACCTTATTCTGCTGGTTTCCTGGAAAGAGATAGGAGCAGAACATTTCCCTTTGATCAACGTCAAGTAGTGATGGGGACTTTAAAAGCATGCCGCCAACAGTGTGATTTGAAGATATCTGAAACATGCAAATTCAGTTCAGAAAATAAGTTTATTACTCCACTTAGGGAATTCATTACAATAAATAGGTATTTATCTAGGATAATGAATTAAAAATTGATTGAATTAGTGACATAGCAAATTCAGAGTAGGGTATGATCTATTAGTCATTGGAATAGCAGCAATGTAAATTGATGTAGAACATTTAGATATAATCTTACCGTATATGTAAAGAAAAAGTCACTGCTTGACCAAGAAAGAACTTCGGATTCATATGAGAAAGCCAACTTTCCTGCTTGCCGACGTAGCTCCTAGTTGAATAATATAAAACTGCAATTAGATCACTTTTATACAACTAGATTATATAACTACTAGAACCCAAAAAGTTGCACCTTTAAAGGATGACTAGTTGTCTTGAATAAAACTTCTGTTCCAGGACCAGAGTTTACATTAAGCTGTATCTTTTCCCTTTTGGAGATTTTCTTTCCAGCAGGCGTTACATATTCAGGGAAATTAAACGGAATTTTCAAGGTGAACTGTCCATTGGAATATAGCAATTTTTGAGACCAACTAAATTTAACTGAAAGATTGGTTCCTCCGTCCACCTGGGAAAAAGGGCATACTAGTTTACCAAAAAAAAAAAAAAAGACAAAACAAAACTAAGCATTAACTGCACAGCTATGAAGACGAAGATACACCAAATCGACAGTCAACACCTGAGGGATTGTCAGAGTGAATATATGGGGTTTCAAAAAACCTCCATCTTCAATTTTTGCCACCTTGTCTGTATCTCTTTCATTGTCCAGATCAATCAGTTGAGTACTGTATGATTTCCTGGGAACCTCGACCTCGACACCTAGAATTGAACCCTGTTAGCAAATAATACAACGTTTGAGAACAAGAAAACAGAGCTAATTCCATCTAACAAAAATGGGAAAAGTATAAAAAGAGAGCATTCTGTTAGACGTATTAAACCTCCAATGGAACAGAAATTACAACCCTTATCCTCAAACCAGAATTATATATAACAATCATCGGAGGAAAGCAATATTTTCTAGTTATTTAAAAATCATCACCTACAATCTCAAGCAATTTTATAATTGTTATTCGAAAGTTTCAGAATTTTTTTTTTTTTATCACAAAAGTTTCATTTCAACTACCTGTTCTCCCATTGGAACCGCGAGGAGGCAATCGCAGCTGCGGCTGGCCATAACGCAATGCACGCGCCACAAGCCGGTAACAGTAACAAACGCTGTGTCCAAATAGCATTCAACCTCGAGAGAAATCCCGTTCATCTGGAGCGGAATCAACGCCGGGGGATTGCACCTACCATGAACGTGGGGCTGGTAGCTCGGTATGTCAGGATTATCGACAATAGCCGGGTTACCGATGACTGCGTAAATCATGGGAGAAGCCGGGAGGTAAGAGTGCACATCCTCCCTCTCCCTCTCCATCACCATCGCCGGTTTCGGTGGCGCAACCGCTCGGTCCTTCCCAAAGTATATCCTCTTCGACAGTCGCAGGCCGTCCTCCACCGCCGCCTCGAACCCTTCCGCCATTGGTGGCCTAAAATTGAGAGCTGAGAGATTTTTAAGGGAATAGAATTTCTTGTTCCTTCCGTCTTCGCGGAGCAGAGTTTTGTTTTTGTTTTCGTGTTTTTGGTTCGAGAGTTTTGGTATAATTTTATGGGAAAATTGCAATCACAGTACCAAACCTTTCATTTAGTTGCAAACTTTTCCTAAATCTTTCATTTGTATAACCCACGTTACCAAACCTTTAAAAAATTCGTACCCATAGTCTAAATTGACAAAAACCGTTAGTTGACCAAAAATTAAAAATTTGATAAATTATTGACTAATTTTTAAATGGCAAAATGGTAACTTTACATCTTTTTTATATAAGAAAAACTAAAATAAAATAATTAAATCAAAAACCAAAAAAATCATATTATCTTCTCCACTCCCCCCCCCCCAACCTAACCCAAAACCAAAATTGTTGGCACCATCACAGTCACCTCTGCCACCATCAGTCAGCCACCAATCTCCGCCGCCACGTCTCCAAACTCGGAAAACTAAAAATTGAACAAAAATCAACCCTCCACCTCCATTTCATTTCTCTCCCTCCTCTCTCTCTCTCTCCCTTCACTCTCTACCCTGTTTTTCTAATAATCACCTTGACGCCTCCCATCCCTCTAAACAGACCGAAGGAGAAGAAATCACAAAAACCCCAACAATGGAGAGGTGAGCGCCTCACGCACGCGGAGCGAAGCAACGATGCTCCTCGCTATGCGAAACAGGGTACTTCATGTTGCTCGTGACACTCAATCTAGCAACAACAACCAAAGAAATTGGTGGTTAGCCCGTTGTCGCCGAAGCCTCCTCTTCTACCGTTGCTGCAGAAGAAAATGGTGGTTTGTGTGACCTTGAAGGTAGAAAAATAGGACAGTGGCAATTTAGAAGGATGTGTTATTGTAGATGAGCAGTGGCGTTGAATTCAATTTTGGTAGTGGGTTGAATATGTGGATTGTGGTATAAGTTGAATTCAACACTGAAAAAGATCAAGATGGAGGGTTGATTGGGAGTTTTGAAGTTTGGAGAGGTGGCTTCGGAAATTGGTGGATGAAGGACGGTGGCTGAGGTGGGTGAGTGTGGTGGTGTAGACAGTTTTGGTTTTGGGTTGGGATCATAAGGTTCTTTTGGTTTTTGATTTATTTATTTTATTTTAGTTTTTTTAGATGAAAAAATATAAAGTTGTCATTTTGCTCTTTAAAAATTAGTCAACAATTGGTTAGATTTTTAATTTTTGGTTAATTAACGATTTCTGTCAATTTGAATTCCGGGTGCGAGTGTTTTAAAGATTTGGTACCTGGGTGGTACAAATGAAAGATTTAGGCAAAATTTGCAACTAAATGAAAGGTTTGCTATCGTGATTACAATTCTCTCTAATTTTATTGATGGTCACCCAATGTTTAATGAAGTCTCAATTCTGTCATTCTTAAAATGTCCCGATCAAATCACCTAGTGCCACGAGCGTTTCATTAGCTAAACCACAACGAAACTTCATCATGAATAAAGTTTCTAGAATTTTTTGGGCATGATTTCAATCCAAAGACAACTTCTCCACCTTTAAACTATTTATATACAAAAGTTGTTCAATAGTATATCTTAATTATTTCAATTCAAATCACTTCATTAGTAGGTGTTACTCAAGCTAACATGAACTGCTAGTGTGGATATTAAACCTTGTTGGAAGTTAACGCAGATTAACTTTTTGAAGTATGACGCATACAATTTTAATCTAAAGGTTAAAAAACATGAGTGAGTTTTGAGGGGTGAGACTTGCTCTATTTTTAAGCTTTAATATTTTACACAGTTCAATAGCATTTCAAATATAGGCATTTTCATGTTCCATGTAGATCTTATGTGGCATTCGTCTAGTTTCTAACATTCGCATAGACATCCCCTAACATAGTGTCCTGAATTGAAATAATTGTGATGTTCGGTAACTTGATAGCAAGAATTTTGAAGGT